AGGAGGTGGCTTTTCTAAAAATGGGGGAGTTATTTGCACCAAAACAGCTTTTGCTATTCAAGTTATTTCACATTGCAAACAGCAACAGCAAACATAGTACCTTCTTTAATACATACCCCTTGCCTGGGAGTTCTTTGTCTCCAAATGCAGGGCTATGCCAGCCATGCTTTCAGGAAAGCATAATTACTGATTTTTATACAATGTACATCTTCACTCAGCCTGGCTCAGAGTGCTCATCTATCTGAGGAACATACTTGAAGCATTGCTGCAAATAAGTCTGAGATGGCTGAAGTGGGGTCAGTGATGCTAGGAGTGCTGGAGTATACATCTTGCTCTTTTTGATGTCTCTTCTTCTGACCCTATTTGGGACAAATCAAATTGATAGCACTGAAAATATCTGTAACAAGCAGGATGTTTATTCTCTGTTGCAGACGCTGGGTCTCCTGAAATTGTCTACTTACAATTTCAAAGCAACGATGGTGGTAGGGAACGTAGACTGAATTTAGGCTTATTTTTTCCCCCAATTTGAAGATGGGATTTTTGTAACCGCATCTTATTTGAAATGACTTAGAACTTTTGAATTTAGGTAGGGGCAGAAACTGTACAACTCTCTTATGACAGTGGCCCAGGGGTGTCCATCCCACGCCCCACAACTGCTGCAACTTGTCAGACTTCACTGCTCCTAGGTTGGATAACATCACCGTGATCAGGACTTTGAAAAACTGCTTAAAATACTCAGCAAAATTGAAAAGCAGATTTATAAACTTAATAGTTAGTACTACAGTTGTCCGCTTTAGTCATTCCAACGTTTTTTAAATGTCACTTGATGGTGAGAATTAGGTATTCTGAATACAAGTGTTTCTGAGAGAAAACAATTGGCAAAGGATTTCAGGCATGGTTGCATTCTAATGTTGGAGATGGCTGGTGTTGCTGCCAAAAAACCCACCCAAAACCCCAACAGCTCCCCAGCTAAAGACTGCCTGGCAGGACTCTACCAGGTATCGCTCCCTGGGTGGGCCATTCCTGTGCAATAAAGGCCTGTTTTCAAGGACTGGTGGCAAGTTTTGTTTGTGAACTTTCTGTGAATTTTCCTTTTGTCTCTACATATCTAGAATGATCTCACTAACCTGATGCATGCTCTTGTTGAGCCACTGCAAGCCAAGCAGGGCAGTCACACCACTCTAGAACTGGCAGCAGGGTTTTTATCTGTTTTAGTTCACCCAATTTGCAAATCTGTGTGTGTGCAAGCCAGGCACCTCTTCTGAAGGCAGCGTAGGTGCACCTCGTCCCCACCCAACACTCTCCTTACTGCTTAAAGACACTTGTCTGGCAGCTCCACCTCACAACGCTGTTAGCAGTGTGAGCTGTGCGGCTCTTAGAGAAACTGCTAGTGGGTTAAAGTTAGTTGAAGGATACATGACCCAGGCCTTGCGATTGGCAGCTGAGTTAATTTGCCTTAGCCTTTTCCTACTCAACATAGGTAAAGTGTTGATCTAATTTTTTTCTGTCACAAGCCCTTTCTCCTTTGACTAAAGCAAAGGTGGATTTTTTTACTGAAAGGGTGTTGGGTTTTTTGTGGGGGTGTGGGGAGTGTTTTGTTTTACTTATTTCTAATGGCAAAAAAAATCAAAGGAAATTAAATTGATATTTAGAAGTCATCCTTTGTCAAAACTTGCTTGCTTTGATGAGAGTGAATCCATAATGACTGAAAAATTAACTGTGCAGCTGCTAATTTTGCAATGATTGCTTGTAAGGGGACACATGCTGTTCATTCTTTTTGCTACATATATTTGTAAGTAAGGCACAGAAAGCACATGGGCATTATCCTTTCCCAGGTTTTAAACCACTGTTAATAGACTTGTTAATCCAATGAAGAATTGTATTTTTACACAATTAAAATGTATTAGTGTAGTGAGGACAAAAGGGGCAGTGAAGAGCATTTATTCACAGAGCAAATCAAGCTCTGATCGGCTGATCATCAAAACATTATCTGATTTACATGTCTATAGGCTTATGACCATATGAACAGGAAATTAATTTTGGCAGTAGGTTCAATGGTACTCAAGTCCACCATCTAGAAACAAGCATAAAGCTGCTATTCACATTGAGACTGGCCATCCAATACAGGACACAACCTGCATGATTCCTTGATTTATTTCCCCCTGCAATAGGTAAAACATCCATGTTAAAAGCTCCCAAAAAAACCAAGAACAGCCTTAGCACTGAATTTGTGCAACTTACCTTCTGGTGTCTTCACAGTTGGCCCATACAGCCACTAAATTCTGTAGACACGGGTCTGCTACCAGCAGGAACAGTCAGTGTGAGTGAGTGTTGAACTGAATTACCTGGTTTGGTTACCACCAGTTTCATTTAGGTTGATTTGTAAAAGGTTGCTTTTCCTTTGTAGAACATTTCCGAGTTAGCTGACCACAGTACAGTAGCTGAAGCAGCCTTTGTTATGTCGTGGCTCTCTCCCCACTTTCCTGCAAATATCCTGCCCAGTGCAAATAGAGGAGTGAGTAAAAACTGGACAGTGCCCTTTGACATAATACTTTGTTATCCTGCCTAATGCTATTGAGGAGAAAATTCCTTCTCCCACCTAATGCTGCTTATTTATTTATTTATTGGAGATGAATCCATGTTGCTTCAAGAGGCTTTTTTCTGGGAGATAATAGCAGCAGCTCTTCATAGATCCATTTGTTGCCGTGGTGATCTGCCTACTCCTTTTGTTAGTCTGCCTCTACTTCAATAAACCCCCTTCCTGTTATCAGCCTGGTGAAAATGTCTGCAAGTTCTTCAGAGCTAATAAACAGCATACATCATTCCTTTCATCTGATCACTATAGTGTGGGGCCGTATGAGAGTGAGAATGGCACATGAATTGTACAGCTGCACTAATGGAACTCTGAAGAATGAACCTCCCCAGTCAGCCGAGTGAGTGCAAGACAGGGCACTACCTTTCTCTCTGAGCTGGAGGTGCCAGGACTCAAAAGCTGCACCTTGTTTTGAGCACTAGTGAATGACCTGTCTCTTAAAACTAATAAAGCAGACCTCTCGATGACTATTTCAAAGTTGCTGGTTTTAAAAGCAAGCTTGAGGTCTCTTCAGTGTTTTCAGCCAGCTAAAACAATCTTTTTTTCCTTTGTCTTCTCTCCCTTACACCTCCTAGGAACGAGATGGAAAGACACTTCTTGGAGCTACTGCAGTTTAATATCAATGTTCCTGCCAGTGTTTACGCCAAATACTACTTCGATCTTCGCTCCCTAGCAGATGACAATAACCTGAGCTTTCTGCTGGAGCCTCTCAGTAAAGAGAGAGCACAGAAACTGGAGGTAATGGTCTGAGATTGGCTGAACAGTGCACTCTGTCTGCCTGTGTAGTAAGAGCATCTGTTGCTAATCATATTAAGTGGCAGTCAGAAAAACTAAAAAGCTTTTAGATTAGTGTATTACAGGCTAATTTAACCCCTTTATAACTACAGTTAGCACTTCTAAAACCACGCCTAGTATTCTGAGGAAAGGAAGGGACAGAGATTATGGAAGTCTAGCAGATCACAAAATAAAATGGATGTTATTTTGGGAACTGTAGCTCAGCTAGGCTACTTAAGATTGAAAGGATTAGTGTCATATGTAATGGATTGTCTGTCCTTCCCTGGTCACAGTCTGTATTCCAGGCACCTAGAGACAGTCACACTCAGACCTTTCTAAATACTACCAGCTGAAGGTTTCCCACTGCATCCCACTGCACAGCTGCTTTTAGATTTAGAGGGAGCACTCTTACTGCTCTCATGGTTTAATAAACCATTTGTCTAGGGACAGCTGCAGAAATTAGAATATATTTCTTTTCACAACTTCTAGACCCTCACCTTTTTGATGAAATGTTGCTTTCAGATAAACTTCTGCAATGGCCACTCCTTAGGAGTCCCTCAGAATGTCCAGAGGAGTGTAAATACCGATTACTGGCCCCTTCTGTGAGTCCCCGCAGCCTTCTTTGGTATGAAGGCTCATTTAAAAAAAAAAACTTGAACTTTTGCAGAGTCAGTCTTCCTAGTTGTTGGAGATATGTAAGACATTTTGAAAATATCTAAATTACCTGGGTTCCCAGGCAAAATTTCTTGTTGGATCAATGCAGCCTTTCATCTGTCCAGGTTTAAAGGATGACTCTGGATGGTGTTTTGTTGACCTTTAAACAAAGCCATTACCGCAGGCCCTGTGTACACTGATAGCATAACCCCTTTCAAAGAGGGGTGTGTATTCTTGGCTTATATTGTCCACCCCCAATAATTCTGCCAAGTGCCAGGTTTTTTTATTTCATCCCAGAAGTGGCTGAGCTTTGGGTGTGTGATCCCTCCTGGTCCTTTGGAATGATAGGTATGATATGCCTACAGATTCTTCTATTTAAAGTTAAGCAGTGCAGCTCTTCTGCTTTGTCTCACCATTGTTACTTGCACTTTAAGCTAACACTGTCACTAATTGTAAATGTGGTTGTAGGGCAGTTCATATTCCACAGGAAATTGTTTACTGAACTGCTCAGTGCCCAGGCATAAGTGGATGATTTACAGATTGTGAGCCTGTTTTGTTTCTTCTTTGCTGGTTCTTGGTATTTAAAACCAGAGTAATTTCCAGTACAGTATGTGATTTGCCATAATGCACTTACTAATGCATGTAATAGGACATTTTCGGTTTTTAATTCTAAAACTTGATGAATATTTGAAGCGTTTGCTAAAATTTTTAATTCTGCCTTTCAGTTAGAAGCACATGAGCAGTTAATAGGAGCCTGTATGAAGCAGTGAATTAGTATTCCAGGGACTGAAAACTGATTTACACCATATGGGTGACTGGGGCTAAATATGTCAACACAGGTTGCTTTATGATTGATGTGCTAGCATTAAAACAGGATGGAGAGTCTGTCTGGTCTTGCACTGGGAGCTCATGCAGCCAGTGTCTCAAAGAATGCCACTCTTGAGCCAAATGCATGCCTCCAGAAGGTCGGCAGAAATAAATGTAAATAATTATTTTAAAATACACTTAGAAGTTTATTCATGCTCAGAGTGCTTTTCACCTTTTGAACTTCCAGAACACTGGGCTGTGCTGAATGGGTGCTGCCTTAAAGGGAAGGTGCAGGCTTGTAGCTGATTGCAGGACTCTGAAAGTTCATCTGGTGATAGGTGGTAAATTGTTAATGGAAGTAAATATTCAGGACTGAGATTCAGTTCAGACTCTTATTATAGGTATCCTTATTTATTGATAATGCCTGAAGGCTCCAATCAGAAATGGGCTTTGCAGAGGAGGACACATGGAGTTTTCTGGACAATCATGTATTATTAGGATTTAACTAATTAGGCTTGTAACAAGAATAGCTGCAGCAGAATAAAGGCTGTTTGACTAGCCAGATAAGCAGAGTAGAGGTAAGCCAGTAAATGGGTGAAAAAGCAGTTAAATACTAAGTTGTCCATTTATGCTGATATTTAATAGCTGTATTAAAGTGCCATGGCTATTGCCATGCCTTCGACCAGTGGGCTGCCCTCTTTTCTCAGACCTCTTCAGGACCCTGACCATGTGAGTGAGTGAAAAAGCATGTTGGGGGGAGGGTGTAGAGAAGGTAAAGGCAAAAAGGACATCCTAGGAGAACTTCATTTCCTGGGCTCACTTCCACTGAGTGGCGAAGGGCAAGGTGCCCGAGGGAGTGCAAAAACCTTTTCAGTCTGAACCTTTTCTCTCATAGAAATGGCTGTGTGTGCTTTTATACTGTGAAAATAATTTTTTGTGTGCTGCTGCATGCACCAGACCTAGCTCCTAGATGCAATTTTGAACATAACTTTCACAAACCCGTAAGTCTGAAATGGATCCAAGTTTTCCATTAGATAGTGAAACTGGTAAAACAATGAAGATACTTAGATGTGGAAACCACTCACCTTTGTCTTACTTTCTGATGGATAGGGTTCTTGTTAGTGTGGGGACAGACTCCATTAATATTTTCCCTCCAAAGTAGTACTTATTTACTCTCATTCTAGGTGAAAAAAAAAAAGCTAGCAGACTGCCTGCTCTGTTGGTATTACAACTGTAAAAGCTTCCTTGAAATGTTCAAACTTTTCTAATGTGTACTTTTCATTTTGTATCTGAACATGGTATCCAGGCTATCTCTCGGCTGTGTGAAGACAAATACAAAGACTTGTCAAAAGCTGCTATGAGACGCTCTTTCAGTGCTGATAACTTAGTTGGTATCCGCCGATCTAATGCCATCCTCTCCTGAGGAGAGAGAAAGGTGCAGCACCATGAACCAGCATCCATACAAATCGGAGGAGTACAGCCACTCCATGCACACAAGCCAGCGGTGATGGTGTCTTCCAGCAAGAGGAGGAGAGGAGGGTCGACTAGCCAAGGGAACCCAGAGCTTGAGAAGCATAATTGGTGCAAAAGACAAGACCTTCGTCAAATCAACTCTTCTCCTTCTAATGTATCCAGAGGTGCAAAACCAGACTTCTTCCCTTCTCTCCCCCACAGATGTTTGCTTACTATGTAGGCCTATAGCTGTGAACTCTTGAGGTTTTTAATAATAAGTAGTTCTAAATTTTAGCATTTAAACACTAACCACATGACTATAGTTACACTGTTCTTCCCTCCTCTCCCCTGTCATCCAGAATCTCACTGCATTTGTATTTCAGGTCAATGCAGTGTTAACAAAACAAAACAAAACATGGGACTCTTAAAGTATAAAGCCACTCTGGAGCTGAAAACAGTAGCATAGAGGCATATTGAAGGCTTTTCCCTGGTTTGGCTACTAAAAGCTGCTATTATTGGTGATCTGTTCATAACCAAGGAGCTGCCCCACAGGAAGGAATTCCAACTCTGCACCCCCAACTTCACTCCAGTAGAGATTGTCAAAAGACTTTGAATGTTTTGACTGGGGGCAAATATATGGTTTTATGTATTATTAAAATGTATAGGGTCCATGCTGCATTTCTTGTGAATTATGGTGCTTCTCTCATTTTCTAATACTTATATTGCTCCAAAAGAGATGCAATCTGTATATTTTTCTGAGGCATTGAATGAGAAAGCTGGTCTGGAAACATCATCACTATCCCAAACAGTGTAGCAATCTAGTGGTGAATGGCATGTGTGCAGTGCTGCTTCTCTGAGTTCTACTGCAGATCTCTTGTGCTATATACGGTGGAGTTCCTAAAGCTGATACTGTGCATCCATCTGGCTCTCCTTGGGGTTTTGTTTCCTGGGAGGGATTTACATTCATAATGAGACAGGAATGAGTTTGAGAATCCTGCGCTACCTAACAAGGTAGATTGAAAAATATGTTCAACCGAGAATTATCAAAAAGCTTTCTGTAAACCCCATTTTTCTTTTTTTTTTTCTTTTTTTTTTTTTTTCTAAGTCAATTTTATCTTGTGCAACTGCTCTAGAGGCTTGGGTTTTGCTCTGAGACTTTGGAATGGAGCTTACTTTCAGGCTCTGAAACTCAACTCTAAACAGGATAAGTATTATTAGACTCTTCCTGTTAAAAGTCTTTGTAGTATCTTCCCTTCTTGGATCCAAATAGATTCTAGGCAGTTTGTCCTAGGAGCAGATCTCCCTCCAAATGGCACAGGTTTTGTGCACTTCCTCTTCCAGCCAAGGCCCAGAAACTTACACTGAATAGCGAGTCCATGTGCCCTTGGGAGCAGGGCTGTCTGAGTGTAACCAGAAGTTTGGCTGCACTCAGTTGTTAAAAAGATGCATATAGCCTTTTGCTGTATGCAAATATGCCAGCCCCTGGCTCCCAAATCCATGGAACTTGGCACTTCAGGTATTGATCACAATTCAATTTTGAAAATAATGCTACATCTTCAGGTGGTTTTCCTTTCTCATGTTTGTATTAAAATAAAAGCTAATAAACTCTATTTTAATTAAAGTTAAAGGTGAATTGTGTGGTCTGTACAGCTGTCTGATTTCATTCCCCCTCACAAGTGTTTGGTGCTGTGCAGCTTCTCTCAAGTACAAAAAAAATGAGAAAAACCCAGTGGTGTGTGTGCAGGCCCTTCCATTCCCTGTACCAGCCTCTTGCCTTCGTTTTATCACAGCGACTTGTGAATGTTGGGAGCTGGCAGCAGAGGTCATTTGGCAACTGTGAGCTGCTGGGGCGGCAGTGGGGCAGTGCCTGGCAGCCTGCTTCGGCTGAAGGCGTGTACAGTCCTGTGTGGCTGCCTGGCTATTCCCATGTGTCAGTTGGATTTAGAATTTGACTCAGGCTGCTCAAATAACTATTTACTGACAGTTAGTTTGCACTTAAATGGCCTTTAAGAAGGGCCAGTCTCTCTGGAGGCAATTTGATGTTTTTTAAATCTTCCCTTGAGGAGCACTAATTTGGAAGCTACAAGTGACCAGCTCCTGGATTGACTTGTGACCTAATTGCTAATGAGCTTTTCTTTCCTTAGCAGGGCCAGGTGCCTTCAGCTTTGTGGGGTCAGTCTGGCTGCACTTTACTGGGAGCTGGCACACAGCTTCTGCAAATGCAGCCCTTCAGCTGAGGTGCTCAGCAGAAACTTGGGGCAGTCATTTACCTTTTTTTTCCCAAATGAG